GTTGCCCTCGCTCTTGACAGCTCTGTTGCCCTCGCTCTTGACCGTTACCAACACAGCTGCCCTCACAAAGGACTCCCCTGTCCGGCCGCTGAGGTTGTAAGGTAAACTTCGCAGTGGATCCCGCCACTCTGTAGGATACGCAGGACTGCAACTCTCCTCCTCAAACTTCTTCTGCTCTAACTTATTTTGCCTTAATTGCTTCTGCGTCGAACATTTCTGCTCCTACTTCTTCGATCTGCTCAAACTAAATTTGCTGAAAATTTATTTTCTTCAAACTCCTTTTCCTCAAGCTCCTCTTGCCCAGACTGCTTTTGCACAAACTCCATTTTCAACCGCTTTTGCACAACCTCTTTTTCGAACCCCTTCTGATCTAAGTCTTGCTATCAGACATATTTTTATTTTTCTCCTTGGATTTCATTTCCACAAACTGTACCGATCCTTGAGCTCCTCCAGCACCACGTTCTCCTCCAAGATCATCAATTTCCTTCTCTTCTTCCGGACTCTTAGTCATCAAAGGCCTTCTTCTTCCTCTTCTTCTCAGACTCCTGCTCTTTAGTTCAACGCAGTGGTCAGTTCAACGCAGTGGTCAGTTCAACGCAGTGGTCAGTTCAACGCAGTGGTCAGTTCAACGCAGTGGTCAGTTCAACGCTGTTGTCAGTTCAACGTCTTTCCCTATTAAACCCCCGTTGCCATTTTAATGCCACTGACTGTTCAACACTCTTTGTGTTCAGAATTTAATGTGTTAATGTGACTTGTTTGATGTGTTGATGTGATTTGTTTGATGTGTTGGTTGATGTTTTTTTTAAATTCCTTTTTCACTGTTGATTCAAAATTACTGAGCAGTCGTCACATTCTGATTGTTGGAAGCAAAACGCTGCGTGCCGCGGGAGTGCAGTTTGTGCGTTCATTTATGGAGATGCCAGAGACAATTTTGTGTGCATTAGATATGCATGCGTGAAGTTCATGCACATATTATATACATGCATTATTATGCGTATATTTCGTGTACATTTTGTGAACATTGGTTCTGTATCAGAGCCACCGTGGCACTGTGTCAGTGCGACATATACGAAGGCTGGTTAGCCATCAACATTGAATGTTATTAGTTTTATTCTAATTATTGTAATTTCTAACCAGACTCAGTTGACCATTTCTATCCACCGCATCACTTAAACGCTGGTATGTATACAGGCTGTCTCTTATACACATCTAGATGTGTATAAGAGACAGCTTGACAGCTCCGTTGCCCTCGCTTTTGAGAGCTCTGTTGCCCTTGCTCTTGACAGCTCCGTTGCCCTCGCTCTTGACAGCTCCGTTGCCCTCGCTCTTGANGACAGCACATCATTTGTCAAACACCCATTTATCAAACACTCATTTGTCAAACACCCATTTGTCAAACACCCATTTGTCAAACACCCATTTGTCAAACACCCATTTGCCAAACACCCATTTATCAAACACCCATTTGACAAACACTCATTTGCCAAACATCCATTTGTCAAACACTCATTTGCCAAACACCCATTTGTCAAACACTCATTTGCCAAACACCCATTTATCAAACGCTCATTTGTCAAACACCCATTTGTCAAACACCCAATTATCAATCACTCATTTGTCAAACACCCATTTGTTAAACATCTATTTTTAAACCACCCATTTGTTAAACACTTATCAGTCAAGCACTAATCAGTCAAACACTAATTTGCCAAGGAATCATCAGTCAAGCAATCATTTGTCAACAATCTTCTGTCGAGCAATCATTGGGCAAGAAATCACCTGTTAAGCAATCATCAGTCTAGCAATCATCTGTCCAGCAATCACAAGGCTTGTAATCATTTGTCAAGCAATCATCAGTCAAGCAGTCATCTTTCAAGCACTGAGTAGTCAACTACTTTTCAGTCAAGCATTAAGCATCAGTCATCTAATCATCATGTCGGTGTTATTTAGAATCATGTTTATGTTATTGTTCATAATAAACCCGGTCGCATCGTTATAGTAGTATACGATATGTTGGGGCTATTTCCTTAACACTTGGCGTGTTGATATGTTGTGTGTGCTTAACGATGCTGTCAGTACATGCATGCGTCATGTTCATTTCATAATCCTCTATTTTGAAATAAAAAATCTATAAATGATTTCGTAAATTTAAATTAGCAGTGTTGTCAATGTTTGCAAACACTACAATTCTAAGGATATGAAGTGTTTGAAGTTCTCTTTGTGGTACAAGCTCCAAAACCGGCCTGAGTTCAACAAGAACACATTAACTTCAAATGAATTCATGTGCTGAATGAATGAATTAGAGAATTGTTGAATTAGAGAATTAGAGTTGAAGGATTTCAACACTACTTCTTTATGGCCAAGCGCTGCCTTATGCGTTTGTTTTAGTCGCTTGTTGTATTTACAGTGTAATATGTAGCTATACAAGATTCATGCAAGGTTATACATTTATCAACTTATTAACAACCACAAGAAATTGCGATGCGTTCATTATTAAATAAAAAATTGTAGAATGTTAAAAAATTTCTTTTAGTGTTACAATTTCTAAGCTTTACGTTGGTTCAGAAGAACGACGGTGAAATTTTGATTGTAAACCGAAATTCTAATGATCTTTTGCTACTTATTGGAGATATTTAAAAATTATCGGTAATTGAAGTATTTAAAGAATTTTAATTATGGATCAATTTTAACCAACTATAACCGTAATGATACTTTTGACCGTGAAATTTACGATATTGGACAAATTTGTTAAAGTATTTTTCTTTAAAGGCATTTATCATCACGAACATACAGATGTGCATTGTGGAGAACACAGCGGGATTCTAATGCCACAATGCATCGGCAATTCGGCATCGCTTACCTAGCAGCAAGCGACTAGTTCAAACTACCAAAGGCATATAATAATTTAATATTATATGTGCAGCTCGATCTTAGATGTAAATCTTATAAGACATAAATTTAGCAACCAAGGACCAGCTTCAATTTCATTTTGATATCTTTATGTTGCGAGCTTTTATACAACATATCAACTTAATTACATACGTACATGTTATTTTTCTTAAATATCTATGCTTTGCAGGCGGCTATAAAAAAAGTGATTTAATTACCAGAACTAAAATTCAATTAAATATTTTGTGATTGCGATTTTCTCTTTAAGACGTCAATTTAATTACCTACGCACAACTTCCCTTTCAGTTGATTATCGTGAGTTGTTTAACAATCCATCTTTTAATTACCTACGCACAACTTCTCTTTCAATTGAATATCTTTGTGTTGTGATTTGCTTTTCATTTAATTGATTTATTTAGTGATTTAAAATTTTAAAACATAATTTTAATTACCAAAACACATCTTCCCTTTATTTTGAACATCTTTGCATTATATGACTTAATAAAAAAGATCAATTTAATTAACAATGCACAACTTCCCTTTATTTTGAACATCTTTGCATTATATGACTTAATAAAAAAGATCAATTTAATTAACAATGCACAACTTCCCTTTCAGTTGAATATCTTTGAGTAGCAAGTTGCTGAGAGCCTTGGCGGGTTGCCGCTTTTATTTATACAAAAGATCAATTTAATTAACAATGCACAACTTCCCTTTCAGTTGAATATCTTTGAGTAGCAAGTTGCTGAGAGCCTTGGCGGGTTGCCGCTTTTAGCATCACCACCCTGTTTCTATCTCTCAGTCTTTCATAGCCCCGCTCCGTGTGATCTTTTTTAGGGCGTTAGCGGCAGACGCCGTTAGAAGCGAGAGGGCAGCTATGCAGCCAATAGTAAACATGCGTTCAAAGAGGCGGCGTTGCTGTTTGAAGCTTGGCTCGACTCATGTGACCATAAGGGCACGCATCACAGTGGCGTTACTGCTAGCGACAGTGATGATAGTGATGCCTTTTAGTGTTGAGGCATTCGTCGCAGCTTTAGACTCTAATAATGATACACATGCCATCATCAGAGAAGACCGTGCGACAAATCTGCCACATCGAAGGTACTTCACGAGACCTCGGTACGACCGAGCTCTCACCAACGTCTTGTCTAATCAAGAGGCAATCGTTAACAAGTTGGACAGCTTGGTTCGTGATGTAAATTTCTTGAAAGATCTCGTGAGTCGAAAGGTTCAACTTGAAAGTCATGGCATCAATGTAGGACGGGAGGAAATGCTAATGCAAGAAGCCAAATCAAGAAATCGAGAACAGGAAAGACGTAAATCAGTTTTCAGCGGAATCGACGAGAAGCTTACAAAGCACTACAATACTAGAACATCACAAATTACGTACACTGAAAGCCCACGTCAACAACCAGTTCTTGTTCTTAAATCAAACAAAAAACACGACTTTCCTCATCCAAACCAGCCATCTCGGAATAAGAGATCTGCAGCGTACTATCAGGATGCATATTTGTATCAAAGCCCAGTTTATAACAACCATGCGACGGCTTTCAACCTGGACTCTGGCTTCGTGGAGAACAATCATATTGACACAACAGCCCAGTATTCTCTGGATAGTATTCACAGTCCCAGGTTAGGGTCGGTCCAACCTTTGACCAGATCAAGTCCCGGTTACCTGACGTCTTACGGGACCAGCCCGGTACTATCAGCCGTGTACGAAGACCCCCATCCAATGTATGGCCCCCTTTACGATGGTGGGGGTCAAGCCTCATACACCAACCCCCACTCGGGGATGCCTAGGGCTTCTTACCAAGACTCAGCTGTAATTTTGGATCCTATTTTGGATAACCAAAGAAGAAATATTCAATATGTCCCTAACATTCAACCCGCAGCTTCCCACGAGCCCTCCGTAGAACCAAACTTCAACCTCGAAACTGAAGGGAACGTACCCAATGACGTTCGCCCTGAAACACCTTCAACAGAAGATGCTCGTTCCTCACAAGCACTGAAATCATTAGTGCAAGAGTTGCTTTCCCTCGTTCGATGGCTCGTGAGAAAACAACATCAAAGTAGTTCAAGTCAGAATAATTTTATTCATAATCTCAAGTACGCACTTAATCAACGACTTTTAACTACTGAAGAAGAAATAAAGGCTGCCGTGTCGACCCAAACAGAGCAATTAAGTGAAAAAATCTTGCTTGGGTTCGAAATCAATGATTGTCGAAATGTAAGTTACTTGATATACGAAACGATTGCAAATGGAACTTCTCTCTGGGAGCAGAATTTTGCTCAGATGAGCAGCCAAGCAGTAAATTTCAAGAAAAATACTTCAAGCATCGAGGGTTCGGACACGATCCCAAAAGTATCAGATGACATTGTGAGGGTTATGCTCAACGATGGTTCTCACCACACCTATAATTACTCCGTTCACCCTACTCCTACTTATGATTTATACTCTACGCATCCATACCACTCGAGCTCCATGCATCCTCACACATCCAGCAATTCTCTTCCATATGGAGTGTCAGCTAAGGTCGATGATAATGAAGCGTTGACAGGATCAGTCCACTACAACGAAGGCACTCAAGAAACTACGACACATAATAGCCTCGAAGATATATTAAGCTTTCTTGATTTCTCAGATTATTTATCGAGTCCGAGGATCGTGTCAGATCCAGATTCCGTAATCGATCTTCCACTACTTGTAACCTCAGCATTGCCATTGGACTTCAACGAAACCAAGCCTAACCACGAGGAACATTCGCAGGATCCTGCAGTAGCCTCCAACCAAACCCAAACAAATAATGTAATTCTACCACGCGAGATCCAAGCAGCAAAGATTTTGTTTATAGCGTCTCAAATGTTCAAAGACTCGCTCACTACAACAGGTTCGAGCGATGACGTACAAGAAAACCACAACAACGGAAACGTTTCTCGCTGCTCACCAAATCGAACCGAGTTCTTGCAGCCTTTCACTGACGACTTCCGGGCCTTTCTTGAGGAGCTCAAGATGAGGCTGGGGGAAAGTGTTTCTCAGAACATAAATGAAGATTCGGTAAGTAGAAAGTAAAAGAAATATTGATCCACGATACGCTTATTTTGAATGAATTATGGTCTGCCATTTGTCGCCGTGTCTGCAATTTTTGAATTCCCTCTCGGTATAAATAAATAACCGTATGTATTTTATCCAGTCAAAATGAATTAGTGGATTTCTTCATTCGAATATGATTATTTCAAATAAAATTGTAAATAGTTACTCGTATGTCCAGCTGGAAGGTGTACTGGAGCGATCACTGCGTCCCAGCGTGACACATCTTGAGGACAGAATCCTTGGGTTGCGGATCTACTTAGACGCAGCCATGCTCAAACTGCGGCATGAGGTGGGTTAAATAATATACTCGCTGCGTTAAAAAAAGAATAAGTCATTTCATTTTTTTCATTTATAGACTGTAATAGAAGATGATGTAATTGTCATGATTAATTTGATTTAAATGCCAAATAGTATCCTAGTGACGTCACAACGCACACGAAGCACAGGCCACATGACGTATAGACGACAAGATGCACACTTCATACACACTACACATAACGCACAATATATATTACGCATGACACACTGCATATATATTACGCATGATACACTACATATACTACGCAAGAACATCATGGCACCACATCACGCACACGGCGCGTGGCCGTGTTGCTACGCCATACGCATGTACGCATCACAGCCGACATGTGAACACCGTAGCTGTGATGCGCACGACAGCTCAGCGGCACCTGTAGAGCCGGTCTTCCCTTTGATGTTGAAGCTCTAACCCTCACATCGTCTCCCCTCACCTCAGCTCCCCTTATATTTAGAATCAAAGGAGGCCGCCGTCTCATCAACTGTCCCACTCACTGCTTTTGTTCACCATCGCCTTTACTCACCCTTATTTACTCACCATCGCCTTTACTCACCCTTGTTTACTCACTATCGCCTTTACTTACCCTTGTTTACTCATCATCGCCTTCACTCACCCTTGTTTACTCACTATCGCCTTTACTTACCCTTGTTTATTCACCATCGCCTCTACTCATTCTTGTTTCTCCCCCAGTTTCCTTCATTAATAATGTACGAACCTCATTCCAAATGCCACACTTCATCCTGGATACAAATAATTCACTATGAGCTTCTGTTAAGCATGGGAGTTATGAAGACAGTTATTTATCCTATGACATTGTTCGCAATAGAATAATTACCTTATGATCAATTATATAGGCTTGAGAATAGTCTCCTCAGTGACAAGTTCTCAGATAACACTTTTCGTATAAGGTTATTTTCATCAAGCTTATTAGTAGCAGATGATACTCATTAACCCCCTTACCACCAGGTAAGGGGGTTAATCATCCGCCCATCAATCTCATCAGAAACAAAATTTTCCCATTAACTTTGGTAGTACCAATGTTCTTTGTTAACATCATTATAAGCTTGTGGTCCCTCTCAACCCTCATCAGTGTCAGGTAATCAATTTCAAATCAACTATCGGCATGTCGCTAGTCCCTTTATCTGTAGGTTGTCTTTTTCAACCTAATTTTCAACCTAGGCACTATTAGTGAAAGGGATCCCAGTTGACACTATAGCATAAGTAACACCCAACACAGCGCGTATAAGCAGCTTCATTATCGCAGGATATAGTAGTATGTGCGTATACTGGCAAAATATTATCATTGTTGAATGGTCGACTAATATATACAGACGAATTAATACAAAAAATACCCCACAGAGCGCTTGTAGGTATTCTCGTTATTGAATGATCAACAAATGTATAGTGATTAATTAACATAAAAAAATACGCCAAAGAGCTCAGTTCAAAAGAACACCTTGCGTTGAAATAGCAATGCATTATAGTTAAGTGATGGCGCTGTAGCGGCAGGAACAGCGTTCTTTGCTTCGGTTTAAGGACGAGCCACAAAGACTGGGAATGTCGGCCTGTGTTTACCGAGTCTGCAATTGATGAGACGTCTGCCTCTGCAGGCTCTTTTGATCTCTGCAGCGACGGCGTGCTGGTCTACAGCTGCCATGTCTATACAATTGTGCCTGCCATGTCTGTACAATTGTGCCTGCCACCTGCTGCCATGTCTGTACAATTGTGCCTGCCATGTCTGTACAATTGTGCCTGCCACCTGCTGCCATGTCTGTACAATTGTGCCTGCCATCTGCTGCCATGTCTGTAC